CTAATCCTAAAGCTCCTGGACTTTACAAGCGTGGTGTTTTTTGGGAAGTCTTCAGTGGGAGTGGTCGTCTCACGCAAGCAATTTCTGCGGAGGGACTATGTACCTTGCCCACGATTGACGTCAAGAAGGGCTGCGCCTTTGATTTGAGCCGAAGATCCACACAAATTCTAATAAAGCAGCTGATCCTTGAGGAGAAGGTCTCTTTCCTTCACTTGGGTACCCCTTGCATTGTTTTCTCCAATGCTAGGCGCAATATCAGGAACCTCATTCGAGCACGTGCGCGAGAGAGAGTTGGGTGCAAACTTGCATTCTTTTCAGCTGAACTTGCCAGGCTATGCCATCGACGTCAAACCCAGTGGTCTATCGAGAATCCTGCGAGCTCAAGGCTCTGGCAGTTCCCGGCTATAGAGGAGTTAATGCTGTTGCCAGGTGTAAGAAGTATTTCACTCATTGTCGTTATGGAGCTGAATACAAGAAGCCGGCCATGTTGCTTACAAACTGCGAGCTTCTTGATGATTTGCAGCGCTCTTGTACACATAAACGACATCAGACAGTGCTCCAAGGACGGAAACAGCAACAACAGGACGGCGAAACTCAGTGGGCTAATGCCACTGAACTTGCAGGTGCTTATCCGCTTGACCTTTGCAAGGCCTGGGCTCAAGCAGTGAAGCCCACGCTGCTTAATGTTTCAGAAAAGTCTGGATCAGGTGCTGGGGGATTTGCCCTCCGGTTCGAAGAAGCTGCAAACAATGGACGTGCCCGACAGCTTGAACTCTGCAAAGACTTTGAAAAGAGTTTCCCGAAGATCCTCGAATCCATCACGTTCGGTCAACATTCTCGAGCCGAAGCATCAAGACGTAGACAAAAGAAAAACAATCAAAAGGCGTGCCGCAAAACGACAGCTGGATGGTCCTCCTGAGATTTCCCTTGCAAGAAGGCTCAGAGCTTCACAACTCAAATCACGTACGCAGACACTGTGTGCGAAGACGGCTGCAGAGTTTGATCAATGGTGTCGAGAGCATGGAACTCGAAAGAAGGATCATACAGGCTTGGGCAAAAATATGACATGTTTCATTCATGAACTTTGTGAAGATGGTCGTTGCTTCACAGATGCTAGCTACGCAGTTTTTGGATGGATTGCTTTGCGTTCGGATTTTCATGTGGCTGAAAAAGATCAGCTTCCATTTGCGAAGCAGGCTCTAAAAGGCTGGAAATCTAGGTTTCCTCCAAAGTCGCGTGCGGGAATTGACCTGCAACTATGGGACTTGGTGGCCCTGCAATATGTCCATACTTATCTTAGACCATGTGAACTCATTGCCCTGAAGAAGGCCAGCGTTTTGCAACCACAGGCAGTGCGAAGACATGAAGTATGGGGGCTTATCATTGTCCCTTTTGAAGATGGCAAGCCCACGAAAGCTGGCGAATATGATGACGTGGTTCTCTTTAACACTCACCAACGCTTTGACACCAATGTAGTCATCAAGTCGCTTTTCAGTGCAAACCGTGGCCATGAGAAACTGTTCCCTCATTTGACATACCGAAAGTATTGTGATCAGATTGCCCAGGCTGCCGAGAAAGTTGGCCTCTCAGCACCGCAGTTGACTCCACGCATTCTCCGGCATTCTGGTGCATCACACGATGCATATCATGGTGTAAGAGATGCGCAGCAGATCCAAGTGCGGGGGCGATGGAAAGCAAGTCGCTCTGTGCTACGTTACAAAAAGCCTGGCCGAATGCTTCTCCAACATAGCAAGGTCACTCGGGCTACGTGGACTAAGTCTCGTTCGGCACGATCGCAGGTGATTCCTTTACTCACCGCTGCATTCGCGTCTGGGCAAGTCTTGTGAATTTGTTTTTTTCGTAAGAACTTGGAGTACCGCCGTTTTCTCTTATGGGGTTTGGGTAGGGACACAGATGGCGACCTGAACTCCTGAATTTCAAGTTGCTTGTGCATCAGCTCTCAGTCAGCTGTTGCGCTTGGCCAATGCTTTAGGGCGGCTCACGCCCCTGCCTTACAAAGCCAGGACTACGTTCGAATGCTGCAAAAAGATGCAGCCTTTTCTGGGGCGGACATGATGCAGGAATGCACATCAAAATTTGTTTTTTTTTTTTTTTACAATGTGGATTGCTTTTGCAGAGCCAACTTGGGTGTCAATGCTGCAAAGGATTACACTTCGTGGCTACTTTCAGGTCCTGTCGGAAGATGTTCCATGGGCAGCGGACTCTGAAGGCCCACTTCTGAACAGCGCTACTTTATCTGCTATTGAACTTGGATTACCATCGTCAATATGGCCGGGACTTTGCCCATGGTATTGCACACTTTGTTGTACTTGGTTTTCGAATGCGGTGCAACAAGTTTCTTGTCAACATGTGGCCGGTTTTGGAACCGGCAGTACATTGACTTCTTACTTAAAGTCACTTCTGTGTCCATCAGGGACCCACTTGAATTGGCATCCATGATGACTTTGACCACATGGCGAGTCACGTTGGAAGCTTGATGCAGTTTACCATTCCCAAACTTCAAAAGGCTATGTTCGGGTTGGGCACACTTTGGTCAAGCGCCAACTTTGGGACCAGTCAATTTAACTTCACGGCCCCGCAGATTCCTTGGTTGATCTAGCACTTCTGGCGACGTGCTTTGGAGGTGTAGGTTGATTGCACCTTGCAAACGCTATCGCAAAGTCGGCTAAGCCGATAGAAACCACAGACTGGATATTGCATTACAAAAAATTTTGCAACACCTCAATCTGCAATAGGCGAGCGCGACTTTGAGCTGGAAACGTTTGTGTAGTTGCACTTTGATGGGCCTACCCATATGGCTGGTGGTAGCTGCACTTTGATGGGCCTACCACCTACTTCTTTTCAGCCAGCAATTTTTGAGTCACTTTCTTCAGGCGTTTCACTTGTGACTCTGGCTACAACTTTTCTGTTTTTTGTTAGCAACTTCTTTTGCATTTGCGCCACGTTGGTTTAAACAACTTTTGAGGCAGCATTTGCAACTTGCAACAGTATAACTTTGGGGTAACTAGGCCTTCCGTTTGCAAGGCAACTTTTCAACTAGTGCTGAAGTGCACTCAGTTTGCAATCAAGCCTGCACTTAACGCTTTTGGGCAGTTCTTCTTCACTTGCATCGATTTTTTTCCTGGATGCAATAGTGACAACTTTGGTGTGATCCCTACAATTTGTGTGGGCTTGTTTGGAAGTTTTGGTTTGGTTTCCCTGGATTGTTGTTCTTTGGTTGGGTTTCGGGCTTTCCAAACTTGCGTCCGAGGGGGTGTGTTAAAAATGCAGTTCCTTGTGACCACTTAGGTGAGTCATGACATGCCAATTTATGTTGGCTCAAGACTTGATCTGCTTGTGGCATAAAGGACTTGTGCGGATGCAGCTTAGGAATACTTAGGTGTGCCTTTGTGTGTATTGACTTGGAGGACAGGAAACAGCTGAACTGCTGGACAAAGCTGCCTTTCGTAATGAGCTTTATCTTGCTAAGCGTGGAAGACACGTGCCCAGCCTCTGCACGGATTAGTTTTTTCAGATGCAAATGAAATAGTTATGCTTGTGAAATTGCCGCTGCCAGGGAAGGGGAACTTTGAATTTTCGCTCATGCTGCTTACGGGCACAAAAAGTCACCCAAGCTGCGGTCAGACTTGCGTTTGGGTGGGGGGAATTGCGTTTAGACCAATTGGTGGAAGGTTGTCTGCATTTCTGACGGGGTTGCGTAACGGGGACACCCGCCAGGCTTTCAAGATTTGAGCTCTTAGTGGAGGGAGGGTTCACGGCAGGTTTACTCAAAGAAGTTGGCGCATTGGTGGCGACGCCAGCCTACAACATGAGCAACTTCTTGATCTGGTTCACCCTGTGTCTTCGGACGCGGTGTCCATCATCTGCAAGAGTTTATGCTATAAACGTATGGTAGTTCTTTAACCGGTGCTTTGAGGCCGTTTCTCTTTAGGCTTCAAAAGTTAAGCATGTGTCCTTTCGGAAGGCGCGCAAGTTGCAACACCTCAAGGACCAAACAGCATCCAGGAGGTTGAGATCTTGTCACGTTGGCATCGAATTCACGCGTGCACCCCACAACCCACACCCGTATCGAGCAGGCGCGCGAAGCTGTACTTGTTGTTACGCAACCACGGAAGGGACCAAACTTGACCGCATTGAAACTTGCACATGCGCTCAGCAGTTTCCGCAGGCTTGTGGCGTGTGAATTGAAAATAAGCATGAGTGAGCAAGGACTGCTCATGAAAGATGTTTTCGGCACCTCTCCTTTGCGAATCTGTCATGACCAAGCGACCTGTTACGCTTCCGTGCTGAGAAATCTTGTGCTTGCTACATCAGGGCAATATACTGTGCGGGAGGCGAGTTTCGGCGTTCCTGAAAATTGCAGCGTTCTTTTTTTTTTGCAGCGCGTGTAGAACTTTGCGTTTTTGAGCCATGCAGGATAGTGGTATGACGTCTGTGCCATTAGGACTTTCTACTCAGCTTGCTGGTTCCTTCCAGCAGCAACTATATGGATCCAAAATCCATCCATCCTTTCACACCTGAAGCACCAGTCAACTTGGCCAGACCAGCCCAGCTCGGCCCGCCTCCTGGCCTAGAGATGCGGCCGGCGAAGGCCGTTGTTTGACATGTGATGATTGAGTGCTAGATACAAGTTTGGCATGTCAAGCAACCCTGGATGAAACCCCCCAGTCATTCAATCCTAAGCTTCTTGCTGGGTGGTTGTGCCATCTGCCAGGCAAGGAACACCTTCAATGCCATCAAAATGCCAGAAGGGTACGAGGTCAGCAGGAGACATTGTTGATATCTCCAGAATAGCGATTAGATTTGTGGCAGGGCAAAGTCGAAAGCTGCGCAGCCTCTGATAGCACTCGGAGCCCAACAGATGCCCCTTGGGCACATTGGCTGTGGTCTTGTAGGTGGTGTCTGGAAGGCACGGGTATCGTGCGAAGGCTTCGCCACCCTCGCCGCTGGCATCACCATGCGTGCTGAGGCTCCAAACGATGTTGGAGGAGGGACAGCGCTGGGTGTGTTCTCTGGCCTTTGCGCACTGCACCCGTCTTGTGCCAGGAGCCTACCGTTCCGTGTCCTTCCATTGGGAGCAGCAAGCGGTTACCTCGTGCTCCGTGAAGGGTGTGAGCTTTCTGCGCACAGTTGCGGCTGCCCGAGGCATTATCTGGGGCTCTGCAAGCCGTGCGACTTCAAATGCCGTTCGTCATGTCGATTTGGGTATCAGCTGCTTGGCTGCCAAACAGGCATTGCCGTAAGATTCTTGAAAGCATGCAGCCTCAACATCTCAAGAACTGAGGTGCTCCTTTTGCCACATCTGCGGCCCAGCGCAGAGCCGCCAATGGAAGAAGCAAAAGAAGAGCTTCTGGAAACAGGCTTGCGCAGGAGAAGCTGTGACCTCGAGGTTGCTGAAGCTTGTCGTAGCTAACAGAATGTGCAGGTCCGAGCAAACCAGACAGCCTCACAAGCTCCAAGGCATCGTTCTCTCTTTTCAGTCCTTTCTGACAGGCACGAGGACCCAAGCTCTGTGCTCAGGACTCTGACCAACTGCCCAAGCAAAACGTCCACGAAGCAGATGGCTGGAGCCAACGGCCCAGCTGCGGGTGTTTTACTCTGAAGGTTGTAGATGTAATTGTCTGCGAGTCGCCTCGCCACATTAAGTTGCTTGGGGTTGAGACTTAGCAACACCAATGGACATGCTGATCGATTTGGTGGCTTACCAAAACTGCTGCATCGGCAATCCTTTGAGTAGGATTTTTGATTCTAGGGAGCCATGTCAGTGTGGCCCAGCTGAGACAGTCCAGTGTGGTGGGTTTGTTTTGGGCGATAGGGGACTCCAGGCAGCTAAGTACTAAGTTGTTTTTATGGTTTGTCTGTGCCAAGAGAGGATGGAGGGAGACCCAGAAAGAATTGGCAAGCTTGCAGCTTCATACCCAATTCTTGTTTTCACTTCCCGGTTGCTTTTGCACAGTGCAATCTACGTACCATGTTACATACCTCTATAAGGCCTGCGCCCAGGTGACGTTGAGCTTGCAGGCCGCTTTGTCGCTGCCATGATATTCGACAGCAACTCAAGAACGTGTGTTGCGCGGTAATCTGCATTTGCAGGTGTGCGGGGGCAAAATTTGTTTTTCAATGTTGGTTGGCCTATGTGAGCCCATGTCATCCAGTATGATTAGTACGGCAAGAACCGGCAGCCCCTGACCAGTCGCCATTCCCGAACTGGTGGTCAGCGACTGCCTGCAGACAGAACCGCTGTCACTTGCAAGCCCTAGATGTTCGTAGTTCCTTCGCCTAAGGACCTCCTGCTGAACATAGGACAACATGGGGATAACATGAGCACAGAACCACTTGCAGAGGTTAAAAGCTCCGAAAAACGTCCATAATGTCTCACGGTTCTCTGCAGTGACGCGTGCTGTACTCCTATGTTTGCATATAGGTGTGCTAGCGTGCAGCATGGTGACTCCTGGCGTTAGCTTCGGTTTCGATCTGTTGGCAATCAGCTGTCAGCTCCCCGGAATTCGAGGTTGCACAGACCTGAAGACAAGCAGACTCTTCAGTGACATCAACGTTTTCATGTTTTGTTTTCTACAAGGCCTGTGTGCACGCGCTGTCTATTTTGCAGAGGTGCCAGGTGCACTGCTAAAGCTAGCAATAGGCCGCAAGGAGGCTGAATTCGGCGCAGAGTTGCATGAGTTCTGTACATAATTCAAAGGTGAGTTACCGTTCGTCGGTGTCGGATCGCTTTGAGCAACTGTTGCCGATGGTAGACATTGATGCGAGCTTGTTCGAAAAGTGGAGAAATCTATAACATGCAGCAGGGTCCGCAAAGCCTTTGACAGCAAGCGGTGTTAATGCGGTCGGGAACTTTCAGCCAGGCTATCCACGTGACAGATGTCCTCCCGGAGCGGGTCCGGATGCTGGCTCCGATCTTGTGATTTTATGCCAGCACAGGCAGGCTGCTGTGAGCTGTGGCATCAGGGTTCTGACAAGGCTGTGGATGTGAAGCTGCCACTCCAGAGCGTGCTGGCTGCTGTCCTGAGCTCTCAACTCAGATTTTTCTTCAATCGGTTTATAAGTGTATGCAGCAAAAGCACTAAGGCGAGCAGCATCCACCGCCGAGTCTTCGGCCCAAGAGATCCAGAGGCGATCTCTGCCATGCTCCGTGTATATCGCTGCTCCGTCGAGTGCTGTCCATGGCCAGGTGCACCTTCAGAAGGCCGTGCACTCAATCTCAGGGATCCGAACCCTCTCAAACCATTTTCTGTCTAAGGCTGATGTAACGTGTGACGAATCTTCAGGAAATGCACCAGTTGCAGCATGAGATGTCTCCGGACAACACCCTGCTCTTCAAGCGGCCTAGTTATTATGCTGGTTCTTTGTTTGTCGCAAGCGGCCTGTTTTACCCAAAGCCGTTTTCATGTTCAAACAGCCCAGAAATGATCATGGTTTGCAGGATTCTTGCACAAGAATGGCGATATTGAAAGAGGCATCGTCTTGAGACATGAAAGATATCGTGCGCAGAGACAGCTCCACAGTGCACTGAACAACCTACTGGGCACATAACCGGCTGCCAACATGAAGACCCTCTTTGTACGGATACACTCGACAGCGTCTTAATGTTACGCCATACTTTCTTTCAATTCCCATATGTTTCTGGTGATCCCGTGTTGTAGGAAAATAGACGAAGCTTTCCCATCATATCATATTTATTCTTTTGGCTGTCTGCCTTAGAAGCGCGTCATTGCGCCCATGATTCCCTATATAGCTGTAAATAAAAACGCATTTACTACAACTGTAACGGTTCTCCCTTAATCCAGATCCGATGGTACCAAAGCGGACCGTGATTGTATCGTGACTGGACCGTGACTCGGCGTGACTCCACTGCGAAATCACCGTCACTCTACTGTGACTTTCCACTAAACGTGGCACAGGCAGGGGCCTGGAACTGTGACTGTACGGCATTCTGGCGTGACTTTACCGTGACTCTTGCGGGGACCTGGCATGCTCCAGAGGGATGCAGAACTCATCAGGCCACAGCTGGGAGTTTTTGAAATTTCGTGTCACCAAAAATCACGAACATGATTTTTCTTAAAACTAGGCTTGCGTTGACGGCCTCCCAAAGTTTGTTTGAGCTGGCCGTGTGTGTCACCTTCACCAGCGCACGATACGTAGAGTGGTTGGATATTGCATGATATTACGGACATTATTATTCTAGATCTTCACATCAATCAATTCGTCCGATATTGCTGGCAGCAATTGACTGTCCAAACAGCTCTTGCTGCTGTGGCTGAAAAGCGGGCCAAGGCATGGAAATGTTTGCCCCTAGCTGCCTGATCACTTTGTGAAAATTGATATGAGACTTGTGTTGTTATTGGTAGTTTCATCATAGTTTCATGAGTTTCCCAGAGAACCAAAAAGCACAGTGGTGGCTGCGTGGACAGGTTGATTGAATGTTCGCCAGTCAAAACAAGTCCCCGATCCCTCGGCGCGTTTTTGACGTCAATTCTGCTTGAATGGGATGCCTTCCATGATGTTTAAAGCATCCTGGCAATGTGAAGTCGGAGTCTCTTCTCAGGTTTTTGCAAGGGTCCGAACATCCCCAGAAACTCCCATCACAAGGTCTTCAAACAGCAGCCATGACAGAACGGGCGTGGTTACTTTGTTGGTTTATCAGAAGGTTTGACTAGCAGGGACAGGAACCAGAATCTCCATAAATGGAGCTGAGTGTAATTACTTCATTCATGCAATGTAGTCTTTGCAGATTGATCAGACGGATGAAGATGTCAAAAGCATCTCTTCGCAGCGCAGGGGCGACGTGCAATTGTGATGTGAAAAAGGAGACGAACATCTCTTTTGGACGAGAGGAACGCGAAGATATGTCATCTCCGTTTGCACCTCACGAGTCATCATAAAGAAAGCGGTATGCATCACTGATGACAACGTGCTGTACCATCTGCAGCCTCACCTGTGTCTTTTGCGTTTGACATTTTGCCAAAATCAATTTCCAAATGGTCCTGGTTTTGCCGTGGACCTGGCAAGACGTGACATGTGCGAGCAGTTGTGGCCGTGGAATGGTAAAACAACTTGAAGATGCCAGTGCTCATCAACAAGTTGCATCTGAACGTAACGGAGGAAGGTGGTAGCTGGCAAGTTGGTGCAAGTTGTCAAGCTGGGCCACGTAATCTGGCACCCTCAACGTTTGCAATGCAGCGATTTGCTGCAAGCATAAGGCCGCTCGCACAGGTTAGCAATGGCTTGGGCTCATCCACAAAATGCTAGTGGTTTCACAACCCAATGGCCTGAGCTAGTTTCAACTCGGCAAGCAGCTGAACGATTCACCGCATGGAGGCTGGGCTCCAGTGCAGCGACATGCCAGGGCAAGGCTTTAAAGCTGGAGACTCTTTACGTCCGTCCAAGACTTGACTATGTTCATCCTAAGCATGAATGAATCTGAGCCCGCCGACCATGAGCTCAATGCAAAGCTCACTGAAGCATGGCAGACTTTGCGAACTGGTACAGGGGACACGAGCAGCAGAGGCATCCAGGGCCAGCAAGAAGACAGGGACATCATGAAGCACAGATCTAAACTCACAATGAGAAAAGCGTGTGTTGCGCGTTTCTGTTGAGTGAAGCCGAAAAAAGGGCCGCTTCCCGCTGCCACGCCTGAATGCCCCTAGGGTCTACGTCAGTCTTGTGGTCGCTTAGGTCCGCCTATGGGCGTTGGTGACATGCTTCGCCGCGAGGTGTTCTGATTCGTAGCCCACAGTCAGTGGAGAAGAGAGCAATCCAGCTCTACGAGACAATTCAGACGGAACTTCTTGTGCTGCAGGGCCGCGACATGCTCTTAGACGAGGTGCAGGAAGACGAAGCGCCACCACTTTGCACTGGTGTGGTTTGCTGCCGAGCTTTCAATCCACGGCTCTTCTATCTGGAAACCTTACGAGCGAGAGCTCAACTTCTGCGTAGGTGTCTGCTGCCTTTCCTACGGATGTGTTAGCCGAGGTGCGTCTCTTATCGTTATTGCCGTCGAAGCTAGCATTGTGCGGAACTGTCGTCTGTGTCACGCAGGTCTGCGAGATCGACGCCTCCGGCCCAGAGGATGCGTAGAAGCCTTGGCGACACCAATAATCAAGCGAATGCAGGCAGCATCAGGCAGCCAAAAGATGCCAGAAGCACCTGCAGACCACACGCAGATGTGAAGCAAGGTCTGCACCTGATGAAGGCAATGAAACAGTCCCGGCAGTACGAAGGCCGTTTATTCTAGTGCCTGTAGAGATGCCTGGAACTCTGCATACTCTCTGTCGGTGACTTCCCATCATGCTGACTGAAGATGGGAGAGGGTTCAATGCAGGTCCTGGACTTCACCCGACGATGGCTGGGGGACGCACCTGATTCCATCCGCGCACGCCCCAACTACTTGTGACCCGCTGCATCCTTTGCCCAAGCTCACTTTGAGGACCTGGAGACGATGCCCATGGGCATGCCTGTAACGGCCCGGCTCCCACTTGATGCGATAGGAAACTACCAGCCGAACTAGCTGCTACCAGCCATGGAGGATCGTGGAAGCATGACATGGAAGCATTGTGACGGTTTAACGACATGTCTAATCAGAAAGCTAAGGTTGGTGAACTGGCAGATTTCCTCTCCCAGGCTTGCTCGCCCAAGGCCCCTGCGAATTCTGTGATACTCACAGCTCTGACAGCTCTGGCATCTTGGCGTATGCAGGAATCGGAGGAGGAAATGCTGGACTGGTCTTTGGAGCTGTAGCCTCAGCGAGAGCCTTTTCCGAGCTTCGCCTGATTCTTGCAGTGGCCAGGCAGTGGAGAGCTCACCGGCTAAAACTGCGCAGGGCGGAGGACCAGTCACCTCACGAGCATGAGATGAGAGACGGAATTCCTTCGATTTGCTTTACTTTGAGGGACTATGTGGAGACTGACGAAAGATCTGTCGGCTCTATCGGCCCTGCACTTCTGCAGTTTGCTCGACAGGAGCCCGAGACCAAGGAGGGCGAGGTGGGACGGCAGCAGTGCTGGCCGTATCTGGCCGTATATTCTCGCCTTTTCATTCAGGGACCTTTATTCGTGTACTTCCATTCCCTTCTGTCGTTGTTCACTAGGGCCGCTGCATCAATTGCTTCTTGCCAGGAGGAGATTTCAAGCTCGCGCCTGGACTTGGTCGTGAGAGCCTGAGGGAAATTGGTGCTGTGACAGTGGCCCTTTGGCGGAATCACAGGAAGGCCCAATTGGCCCAGTATTGGTCCATCGCGTCCCCTGCGCTCCGCCAAGGCAGCAACCTCAGTGTGACGTAGGTTGGGCATTTGGCCATCTTGTGCTACGCCATTAATTAATATGATCACTGTTTTTTCTTACCATCATTTTTTCCTATTGTTTTTTCTTTCAATTATTACTGTTATTCGTATTACCATGACTATTCAGGATTTAGGGTTCAGGGTCTACTTGCCGACTGTACAGGCTGAGTCTGCCGAGGCCAATCCTTTGTGCCGATGACTCGGATGCAACCCTCTTGAAGGCCCGCGGCTGACTCTACATCACTTTACGTTGGAAGGCATTTGTTGGCCAGTTTGTGCCAGGCTGTGCAGTTGCTGTCAGAGGCTTACAGAGACCCGGATGAAACCTGTGCAGGATGTTGGAGGAGTTTCTTGCGCGTTTCTGCTGAGGTTGGCATATCCGCAGTGCGATGCGCTCCCAGTAGCCGCCAGCCGAGAATCTGATCTGAGGCTGTCAACTTCGTAGAGGATCCTCCGCTCGCTTGTCTGATAGTGCGTTCTGGCAAACTCAAACATGTCGGGGCCCCAGCATCTCAGTGGACCATGTGGAAATCGCAGAGGTCAGCCCAGTGCGATCTACTGTGATGGCTCACTTGACGCTCTCCTGCTGCATGCATCTCAGCCATCCGGTGGTCTGCTGCGCGCGCTTCGAACCTGCTTGGCGCAACTTCTTGAAACTTAAGGTTTGGCTTTCCTACTCGGCCGGCTCCGTGGCGAAGACCTGACCGCACTAGCAAGCCTCAAAGTGGCGTCCCCGCATTTCCCTGAAACGGAGCATGCAGAACGGCGATCTGAGTGCTGCGTAGGTCGGAGACAGCAGCGGCGATGATCTCGGCTTTCCGGTGGGGCCCGCTCTCAGGGTCAAAAAACGAATCGGGGCTTCCAAGGCAGCGCGCCGCAGCGCAGGTTCGAGTCATCACAATGGCTGAAGCCCCGGGTCACTGAAAAGTTTGGCTTAGCTTCACGTGACAATGCGCCAGGCTGGCCGAGGAGAAGCAGGCGCTGCATGAGCCTGCTCGGACTGCGCCTTCTCCACATGCTGACAGGAATCTTCGCGGCCTTGGGTTCTAAGCCTGCGGTCCTAGCACGTAAATCTGCGAAAGTGATTCGCGGCTGTGCAGGGTTTGTCTTTCAGGCCAGACGCAGCCTCTGAGCGAGCTCCTGTACTTCTTTGCCAAGACGCACCACAGCACCGTCCCCATCATCGAGGACTGCTGCAGTTTCTACCGCATGCAGCCTCCCATGTCGAAGCTTGCCAAGCAGGATGCAAAGGGCGCCGTGGTGTGCAACCTGAGCAGAAGGCCTGAAGTTGCGTGAAGTCAGGAGGGCAAATACAGGGAGGGAGCTTGTTGTAATGCACATGTAGGGTGCGAAGATTGCAAGGGAAGATGTAGCCAAATGGCTGCATTTGGAAAGGAACCCGAATAGAATGATTTGTACATGAGTCTAGGACATCTTCTTGTAGAACGTGTGCAATCTAATCAAGAAGTTAGTCGTGGGATCTATACATGACATGCGTTTGCTTCCAAGATATGTAGTGGAATCGCCACCTTCACATAGAATGAGTCTTTTCCCAGATAGATATAATCCAAAGCTTGAGCAACATAACTTCAAAGAATAGGAATGTGGATGGCATGGGAGTCTCCTTCTTCTTCGATTGGGATGGTCGCCAAATGGTAGGAATTGTCATGGAATTCCAGTGTGCATGATGCGAAATATCAAAGGGACTCTTGTCTCATTTCTTACCAGAGTATACAAAAGGAATTTAATACAGACCAACGTCCGCGGCGCAGGGCTCGACACGTATGGCCATTTTGGGGAAGGCGACTATTGCTTCAACTGAACAGCCATATTCTGATGGAAAGTCTCTAGGAAGACATCTGCAGATAGATGACATCGGCCACGCATATCTCTGCATGCACATTACCCTTTTGGTGTATAAGTCAATAAACGTACAAGGCTTACGCCGTAGGGTTATTCCAACTTGTGAGATGCTAAAAATGAACCAAATTTTTTTGTATGACTATGACGAAAAATCATCAAACAACGGTGTTCTTACGTGAGAAAATGGGCCCCGAGGGCGTAACACATTCCAGATGAATTGTTGGGTTTGTCTGCGAGGGATCTCCTGTCCTACCTGGACCTGGCCATGCAGTCAGCAAGGCAGTTGGTTACGCCTTGGTAAAGCAAGCAGCTGGCGTTTAGCTCAAGCCAATGCAGGCAGAGCGATGCCGGAGGTCCAGATGCGTCGGAGGAGACCGTTGAGTTCAATACGTTGGCCCCAATTGAGGCACTTGTTTGTGTTTGTCTTGCTACAAAGGGTTTCTTGTGAAAATGAGGACGATGAAGAAATGAAGGGATGTGAAGGGATGCCTTTCATAGTCACCCCCCAAAAGGGAAAAGGGTTCCCACATGACTTTGACGGGAAGATGTTGCTAAGCTGCCAGACTGCCAGGTGCTGATTAAAGCATTGAGAAGATACAGAGTCGCCGCCGCCCAGATAGAGGCCATAGCGAGCAAATGCCGACTTCCCGCGCAGCTGATTTTGTTCAACCTGGCAGGCACCGCCAGGGCCCGCTGGCCTGCAGGACGCCCCAACATGTCCCACTGCTGAAAGACAGACTTTGTTCTTGACAATTCATCAGGAGCAATCCCTCCTAGACAACCTCATGGCCGAAGCAGCACCGCAGGACCCGAAGGGCCAGGCACTGGTCTCATGCTTCAACTGAAAGTGGTTACCTCTCGCCGGAGATGCTGCCGCGATTTGGGCATGAGCTGGATGTCATGTTTCCTGCCATGCAGCCCCAGCGAGACTCAAGTGTGAAACTGGCCACCTGTGGAGGCTTCAGGCTTCGTCCTTCAGCATTGTGTGCAGAGAGTGATGCAGCCCTAGGTGGTTGTTGGACACAAGTTGACAGAGCTGAGCACTGTTGCAATAGTGGTTACTGATTCGCTTTTTGGCTTCGGCGCTTCCATGGCCGCCGGGGCTGCGGCGGCCGCTGAGCGGGGTCTGCTTCGGCTCCTTCAGCGACTGGACGCAGAGAAGGAGACAAAACCGGACGCTGTGGAGCCCGGAGCAAATGAGTCGAAGGATGAAGGTGCGAAGGACGACAAGGAGAAGGAGTTGCGAAGGTACCTCGCAACGGAACTCCAGGCCTGGCAGAGGGTTTCTCCTGAGGTCACACGGATTTTGCTGAACTTGAGCTGCCTTGCGAGTTCTTTCATTATCCTTCATTGGGTTACATGTTCCCTGATTTGTCCTTTTTCCAGGAGCTTGGAGGAGTGTGGTCCAAGTCAGAAAGTTCACAGAGCTCTCAGCTTGTGCGCAACCTCGGATGCCATTTGCAAGAGCTGTCTCCAGGGACTTGCGCCAGAGCGGTTCGGGCATTCGCCCCCTTAGAAGAGGATGTCAGACGTCAGATGGTGTCTCTGACCACTGCTTTCAATGAATGGCTTGGTGATGCTCCGGAGGAACTTTCAGAGAAGGCCCTCATGGGCATTGAGGAGCATCTCAAAGTGTTGGATGGTGCTTCGTACCTCTCCCACTGCTACCGATGGGCCGGTGGCACCGGTGGTGCCGATGTGAGGGTGAAGTTTCTACTTTCCCTTGCCATGGTTCTGCGGGCACTTTTCGGGAGTGCAAAGGCCAAAGCAGCCGAGGAGCTGACGGAGAGAGCGGAGAGGCTGCTGCTTCGATTTTTTGGAGGCAAAGAGGAGAGCCAAGCCGAAGGCAGTTTGCAGAGGACGCGCGAGCGGTGCTTCAGTTGGTTGGAGGGTCGGCTACTACGCTATGACCGCCAGTGGCGCCGCTGCACGGAGCGGGCGAAGGCCTTGGGCTTCGCCGGAGAGCTGAGGCGGCGTCTGGGAAGAGCTGTAGAGGCCAGCTCTGGGGCAGAGTGGCTGAACCTGCCACACTGGCCCATGGCCTACTGCTCTGTAGCCAAGGCCTTGGCAGGCTTTGTGGTGGAGTACTTCGATGAGAAAAGATTTTTGGAGCTACCGGAGCACAGCCTCCAGCCAGCGGCGCTGCTCCATGTGCTCAACGAACTCCTTGACCCTTTTGAAGTCGAGGAAACTTATGGTGCCGAAGGTGGTGTTCGCCTAAACGAGGCGTGGGAGGCCATCAAAGCCGAGCAAGATACCCCTCCACCAGTGAGGCAGGAAGCTCCAAAGGCCTTGACTCCAAGAGCCTCCACTAGGCCTGTTCAGGCGCAGCCCTCGAACTCCAATGACACACCCAAGGACACTGTGTCATCCCGAGAGCCGCAGCCACAGAAGCCCCAACCCTCCCCGGAGCCTCTGGAGGCCAAGGAGGCCAAGGATGCCAAGGAGGCTAAAAAGAGAAGCCGGAGTCGCAGCAGCAGCGGCGAGAGCCTGCAGCCAAAGCTTCTGAAAGCGCGAAAGAAGGAACCCAAGGAGCCCAAGGACGGTGAGGATGGCAAGGTAGCCAACGACGTTCAAAAGGAGGATTCCAAAGATGTCGAAAAGGAGGCTGTGGAATCCAAACCCGTAGAGACAGCATCTCCTTCTCCCAAGAAGGCGAAGAAGAGAAGCAATTCGTCGACTTCTGAGCAAGCGCCAAAGCAAGCAGTTGCAAAGAAAGCGGCGGCTGCTTCTCCACATCCCCCACCAAGCCATGGCAGTCCTGGCCAATACTTTTATCCCATGCACTGGGGGCCCATGGCCATACCCATGATGCCGCACCCGGGTCATCGTCCTGGCTTGCCCATGATGCCGCACTACCTGATGCCTGGCATGCCCATGGCGGTAGAGAAAAAGAAGAAGGACAAACGTAAGGAGAAGCACCGCAAGGAAAAGGACCGAGACAAGGACCGGGGTGACAGCGGGTCAGAGTCCTCGCACGAAAAGAAGCGTCGGAAGAAGAAGGAGAAGGCCGCCAAGAAGGAGAAGAAAGAGAAATCGAAATAGCTTGATGCCTTTAGTTGCCTGATGTGTCCAACATCATCGGCATATCATCAGCAATCAGTTTGTGCCGCGAGATGCACCTTAGAAAATCTTAGAAAAAGCTAGTTTCACCAATCGCGCCCAGCAGGATCAGACAAGATATGCGCCGCAAAAGTTTGATCGCTGTTGCTGTTCGTCTGTAAGGGACAGCAAGCGGCTGGCATAAGCGCAGTTTGGCCGTGCAAGGCCGGTGACTTCCTTGGAGCCAGCCTTGCTTACGAGAAGGACAAAAACCTCTGCAGTCTGCATACGCATGCTGGGCTAAGGCCCATGGCTCTCTGTGTGTCAGGAGCTTACGCTTAAGGAGGTGATCCTTCGCCTCCTTCAGGCTGAGAACCGGAAGCTCCTGATGCTGCAGGTCTACTTCCCTGCTATTCTCCTGCATGCTTCAAAGGCTTTAGCTCTTAAAATCGCATGTGCTAGGATCCAAGTGAGAAACTGCTGCGGCCCATTCCCCGGCATTCACGTGAAATCGTTTGGCTAGAAGCCAATCAGCGAGAGCGTACTCAGGCGGATTATCTCTGCAGAAGATGTTTGGCAGCTTCTGATCGGAGAGGAGAAGGTGCACAAACTGCAAAGCGATTCTCAGCATGGTTGGGGACGAATGCTGAAGGTCCATATTATTGCAAGACATGCATGATTCAACGAGTGCAGCTAAGGGCAAGTGTGCAGCTAGACAAGGGTACTCTTAAGTGAAGGCTTAGGCTATGCAGTTCCCTGAAGGCTGCATCTTCAAAAGAGGAGGTGACCCTGTAGAAGTGCGGACTGCTTCTGTTTCCAGCAAGTCTGCGCCTGCTGTGGGTACGAGCGTTGCTTTTCACCAAATCAGGAAGGTTTTCCTGCCATGCATGATGATCCGAGAAATTGGTTGGCAATCAACAAATATAGGTGTGCTGTCCTTCCTGATCTACGTGTGCTCGCTGTCAGTGCTGGGCCCAACTGCTTTGAAGCAGGAGAGGTTTCCAGAATTCACTTCAGCTCTCTACTCGCGCTTTCGCAAGGCACCATCATCGTTTCATATCATGCCACTCAAAGGCCAAACTACGCAAATCCTATCAAGGATGTCAACAGCCTGTGGGCTGCTTGGGTTCCAGTTTCAGGCCAAGCAGAGAGCTAAACATTGAACGCGGCTGAAATGAGTGGACGTGCTGGAAATGATCATTCTCATGTGCCTTGATTTGCCTCAGCTCCTGTCATCTTTGACGGCAAGAGCAAGATGCGACATTGACATGACTTGATCGCATCTACTGTTCGCTCAGCTTCAACTCGAAGAGTTGGAAAGGCGAGCTGTGAGCCAAGGCGAGGGGATGCCGGGATAAGCAGAGCAAATGTGTCATGCTGGCTTGTCAAGTTTCGACTCTGATGGGAGTTTTGCAGGCTCGGGTTGCTGCCATGCCGAGCAAAGAGAAGCTGGCGAAGAAGGAGAAGTGCTCCCCTGATCACTCAGCTTGCTTCGTTGGATCTATTGTGACTACAGGTACTTCAACAAATTGATCGACTTGTGCGTGAACAGTCCCAATGCTCTTCTGGTGGGCGTCGACCATGTTGCCTCGAAGCAGATGCAAGACATTCGCATCGAGCTGCGAGGCAAGGCCGTGGTCCTCATGGGCAAGAACACCATGATCCGCCGGGCCTTACAGGTGGGTCACGAGCGGCATCCAGAGGCTGGGCTGGACATGCTTCGAGCCACGGTCAACGGCAACATGGGCTTCATCTTCGCCACCAACTGCAGCCTAGACGACATCCGAGAAACACTGTCTCTCAGCTCCCAACTAGGATATCTTCAGTCGTAGGCTTGCTTGGATGATTTGAAGCATCTCTTAAGTAAACCTGTGAGAAGTATAGTATATCATCGTAGAATTATGCAAGAAATATGTAACATTATATGAATATGGCCTAAGGAAGAGGCACACGCGGCAGAGTGCCGCCAAGGCGGGGCAGGTCTCCATCGTCGATTGGTTCATCCCCTCAGGGCCCACGGGCATGGACCCTTCCCAGACAGCTTTCTTCCAGGCGGAGAAAGATGAAAAGGAAAAAGGAATGTTGAGTTACGTCTTCCTTCTTGGGATTGAAAGGCTTTCTATCTCCCTGCAAGGCCTTGAACATTGGGACAAAGATCGTGAAGGGACAGATTGAGCTGGTTTCGGAGCCTCTGCGCAAAGCATGTGTGTTGCTTGCATTTTCTGCAGATGATTTCACGTGCTTCTCGGCTGGATCCTAGGACTTTAAGATCCTGAGCTGTGGCGAGAAGGTCTCTGCTAGCGGAGCCGTCTTGCTCACTAAGCTGGGGATCAAGCCTTTCGAGTACAAGGTCGAGGTTCAACAGGTCTTTCAAGACGCTTCTGTCTTTGATGCTGCTGTGCTGGACATGTCGGAACAAATGCTGATCTCCAAATTTTTGTCCGGCACTCCGACTGAAATCAGGCGAAGTAGTGCAAAGACGAAGATGAAGTCATGCAAAGAGGTGGTTGAACGATGGTTGTAGCACAGTGGGGCAGTCGAAGTCGAGAACTGTGAAGATGTAGCGGCAGGGACTTACTAGATGAGGAGTTTTTATTGGCCTGATTGCAGTTTACTTTGTGCCCGGTGCTTCTGGTGCTCAGGCATCGCCAACATGGCGGCCTTCAGCCGGGAGGTGGGCATCCCCACCGAAGCTGGCTTGCCGCACGCCTTCGGCAACGCCTTCAAGAATGTGGCCTCCATGGTTGCCGACATCGACTTCACCTTCGCGGAGGTCAAGGAAGTGAAGAAGTTCCTGGAAGACCCGGATGCCTATGCCGCCGCAAACCCGACGACATCTGCACCTGTGACCAGCAGCGATGCGCCCAAGAAGGAGGAGAAGAAGGTGCTCGTTTCGAGGGCTGACTGACGCTGCCTGCTCTTTCGCTCTCTGCTGGGTTTGTGCAATTTGCCTGGCAGTTTGCAGGTGGTAGTAGAGGAGGAAGAGGAAGAGGACAGGGAACCTTCTTGGATTAGTGCATGATGTTTCTTCCTGCAGCGTTCACTATGCCTTCAGAACCCCAATGATCCTTGCCATACTGAAGTCTGCAGCAGGAGATGGATTTCGACCTTTTCGGATGAGACCGCAGATCCTGACAGCCCCCGAGGAAGCTCTGGCAGGGCAGCAGGCGGCAGGAAAGGGGCGTGCTATGGCATCAATGGCATCCGTAACTAACAGACCTAACAGGCCACTGCTTGCCCAGGGTTGCCACTTCTGGTTCCACTTCAGTTGCGGACTCGAGAGCGGGCTGTGGTGGACAAGCGCGGTTCCCTCACCATAGTCATTTTGCAAATTGTGCACCTGCTGCTGTGGAAGGCTCTGAAACATGAACATGCGCAGGTTCAGGATCTAGCAGCATCGCAGCAAATAGGGGGAAGTGCATCCACATACCGCACCAGGTTTCAAGACTCTTTGCTCCTGTGCTTTAGAAAGCTAGACGCACCTTCACTGCCATGGCGAAAACTGCTGTGTCAGGGACCCTCAAGTTGATGCAGCGAAAACAGCGCTGGCATGCGGCAGTTTGCATGGCTAAGGGCCATTCCATCCGAGGGCGGAGATGAGCATTTTGCCAAGTGAGCTTTTGCTCTGAAAGCCGCCTTGTCGTGCTGTTGATGCTGCCTGTGCACAGGTACTTTGCAGAGATCACGCTTGACGTGGTTGAGGAGTTGCTGTCGTCAACACATGCTGGCTCGCGGCACTTGTCTCCGTAAGTTGGCTGCGCTTGCAACACTCACACAGCTGCTGCGGGAATGAACTTGCGCTTCATGAAATCCACGTTCAAAAACCCACCCCAAAGGCTCCAGAACCTTTTGGGGACCCAACTCCCAACTAATCCAGACGCCTGACTCCTAGACCTAGAAGACGCGCAAGCTAGTCCCCCAGCCTCACTAGAGGCTATGCATGACATTTTCGGGGGTTCTGGTGATGAGTCGGGTTTTGCTACAAGCCTTTCTTGAACATCAGAATTAGAAAGCGCTGATTGATGCTGGTTTCCGAGATGGGGAGACTTTGGGCACAGGAGCAGACTTTCTTGAAGCGTGCAATGGAAGAGCCAGGGTCCAGCACCCGGGAGCCTGAAGTCTGAAGGAAGTCTGAAGGAAATTTGAAGAAGTTTCTGGGGAAGGCGAAGAAGGGTTGCAAGCCGAGTTGAGCCGAGCTGAGGCCACGCTACGTCCACCTGCGACGAAGCTCCATTGGCACCGTGACCGTCCCCCCTCACATCGAGGCTGCCTGCAAAAACCACTGCATTCAAATGCATTCGTTTTGATGTTCCTTTTTTGTTTTTCTCGGTGAAACCTACCATGCAGGAGAACCAACCTGGACGCGAACTCGCTCAGATGTGGACTGGACACCCGAAGGTGGATCGAACGCTGCACCAGCCTTGGCTTCAAATGCTTGGAAATGCTTAGGAATAGGCAGGGGCGCTCCTTTCATGGGGGGAGTGTTTAGGTTTATCCTGGACCGACGAGCTGAACAACGGCTGCGGTCTAGCTGGCCCAGCTTTACCAACGAAGCTTCTGAAAGACTAGTGTTCCTGTCGAGTGACAGGGAAGTGAAGGCAGTCGGCACGCAGAAGAACGTACCCATGCTCAGAGGAGTTGCCCGCTCAATGAAGGCCATGCCTGCTAACTTTGTCTGCCAAGCAGCGCTGTTTGTACGAAAGCTCATCGCCGCAGAACTATGGAACTCGACTTGGGCCTGAGCCCTTCGGGGACTCGTTTCGCCAGCACCCTAAGTGCGAGACAAAGAAGGTTGTGCAAGTCATTCGTTGCGAAGCAGGTGCAAAGTACCTGAACTCTCAGAAGAAGTTTCCTGTGTCCACTGCCAGGGCCTTCGTGAGTACTTGCTAATTATGTCTTGCAAAAGCAGGGCTATTGGAGGCCCCTCCGTCGCTAATGGACAAGATGGTCGATTAGGCAGAGATGCAGAGATGCAGCTTTAAGCAGGAGCCCTGTTGCAAAGTGCTGCCAGATGAGAAGTGCAGGACTATGTGGAGCTGCCATGCTCCTGAGCTGAAACTGATGGAGCCAGCCATCCCCTTAGGAGAACTCCTTCACAGACTAGTTCGCCTACTTGCGATTCCCATCATTGGCCAAGCCAGCGGGAAGATAAAAAGCGAGGGGGATGCAGTGGAGACTGCCTTGTCAACTTGTGTCCGCAGCAACTTCCCGTCACTCTCTTGCTTCAAGGTTTAGCATCAAAGTTCCGTGCACGCCAATGGAACAAGCGTTCTGGCAAGGATTTCTGCAAATGCTTGTGAAGGTTCAGCTTTGAGCGCAAGGCATTTGCTCAGCTTTGATCCTTAGCTGCTCAGCTTGAGTGTAAATGTGCATGCATGCATAAAGTCCAGTGTATTTTGTCGCTAGGAGAAGGAACGGAAATAGCAAAAGACACACATGTTTTCTACCTTTTCTTGTTTATTCCACCCCCCCGCCCCCCACACACCCTCTCTTCGTGGGTGTCAAGTTGAGGGGGTGGGGGTGGGGGTGGGGAATGACCATAATAGTATTTGTCACACGACCAGAAAAGTGTTCTGTACAGACACCTTCTTATTCTGCCACAGAAAAAAAGAACAAGAGCAGATGATCGCTTAACATATTTTTGCTTTGTAATCCTCAAGCGCAAAGCCAAAAACCCTACACCTAGAATCTAAAAAAAGTAGTGGGGACGTGATTCTATCTTCCACAGGACAGAGACCAAGCAAACAATTGTTTCAAACATTCGTTCCTTTCTGTTAGTTTAATAGTTCTGATCTTTGTCTTGGCTAAGTGCTATATGTTGCATCGCAATACCAACCTTGATTGAAATCTAAAACTCAACACCCCAAGTCAACACCAGCAGACCAAAACAGAACTAGGTGTGACTTTCATTCATTCATATACCACAAGGCAAAGACAAGATGAATTATTGTTTGTTGAACTGCCCTCAAATCTTAACGCATGGGAACCATCTCTTGCTCAAACCGGCCAAGTGTCCCTGGCCTGGCCTTCCTGTAGTCATGGGCAAGCCTCTGAGAAGCCACTGGAAAGGCCCAGAAGCTTGATTTTATTAGATTTCGTTTCTGGCCAGGAAAACATCCCTTCATAGGCTAGAGGGGTCCTGTTTCAAAAACAGAGAAGTTCAACTTCCTTACATCTCCCTGCAATAGGCGGCCGCGTTGACCAGCATCATCAGCGTCATTGGCGATCCCGTCTCCTCGCCCCAGCCCTGCACGCTGCTGTACCATACTTGTACTTTTGCAAAGGGTTGCTGGGGTTTCAATGTGCGTCGGAAAGGTACTGGAACCTTTTCCATGGATGTACCCAATGGTGCCGATGATGCTTGCACGCGGGGTGCGTGGGCTCCTGGCCCGTAGGCAAGCATGGTCAGCACAATTGGGAGGCCAGTTGAGACCACCGTCATATTTAATGTTGCCAATATTTCTAAGAATCATAACCATCAGAATGTTACCACCTCTACTCCTCCTGCACCTTTTTTAACTTATTTGCTTACTGTTGAAGTTGCAGAGAAGGTTCCTTTGCGGGGTATTCTTCCGAGGCATGATGTGATTCTGGACTTGGACAGTATAAAGCGCAAGGTCGCTTGGTTGTGTACTCCCAGGATTGATGTGCGCAAGGCCTGTCAGTGGTTGATGCAAGCCAACTCGGCTGCTCACGGACGATTTCGTGACCTCTATAACCAGGCTGGTTCGACGTCCTGAAGCTGGGCCCGTGTTGTTTGCCAGAGCTTAGCTGTGGATATGCAGTGCAGTGGGTCAAATTTGACGAGTGCGTGTCGCAGTGGACAGACCACGTGTTCTGGGGTCTGTAGCTTTGAAGTGCTATCCTTTCCGTCGCAGGGATACGGACGCGTGGTGACATGTTGCAGTCGCCCCGTGCAGCTGGCTCCTCACGCCAGGGGGCGCGGTCACCTCACGGTGCCATCGGTGCTTGAGCGAGTGCCCTCCTGAGTTGGTTCGCTCGTGTTTGACATTCTGAAGAAATTGAGCCCGTGCTGGCTCGTTGTCAGATCAGAAATGGTTGATGCCAGTCATAAAGGTGACAAGGGGGCATTGCAAAGCTGTGGGGGCATCTGTCGCACCACCACACAGGTCCATCTGATAGGCGCGCTGGGCAGGATCGGAGCTGGAAAGGCCATGATCCTGCGCTTGCTGAGCAGGGTGTAGCCACGGGATATCTCAATGAGCTGATGGCAGTCTGTGGTGGTTCTGGCAGGTCTCAGCAAGGAGCATCGATGCAGCTGCATCCTGCTTCGCTCCGGGACGATGCCGACGTGCTATCATTTTGCAGGGTGGCTGGGCAAGCGCTTCCGCCCTAGTTAGTTGAAATTTATGTGTTTCGTGAAGTGTTGTGAGCTTTTAGTGAGCATTTCTGTTGAATCAACGTTGCATACATTGCCCATGCCTTAGGCTGACATGGCTGGCGTGCCACCCGCCGCGCAGATGTGGCTGCGCAACAATCCAGCAGCCATGCTGGGCACAGTTGAGACGGGATCAGAATGTCCTGGTAATACGTAGTAGTAGCAGTAGCAGTACTGTTACTACTACAACTACTACCATCACTTACCACTACTACGACTATGACTACGACGTAGTAGTAGCAGCAGCAGTAGTAGTAGATGGGCTCAGTTCACCTATCGTTTTTCGACGCATTTTGTTGAGCATGTTTTGAGCATGCGGAAGCTGAAGCGCTTGTATCGTTGACATTGGCTCCAAGCAAAGTCAGAGGATGAAAAGCTCATGAATGGCGCGCGGCTAAGCCCAAAACCGCCGCTGGCTGATGGGTTTTGGGGGGTTGCCAGGTAGGGCTGTCCCTGGTCTAAGTAGGCCTGGCCTAGGTTTATTAAAAAAAAATCCGCACCAATAGGTTTTGACACTCCCTCACCTGTTTTCACATGCTGATGATGCATTTTCCCTCTTCATAATTGATGGGAAATACAGCTGATACAGCTGGATGACAAGAAAGTAAATTCAAATCAGAACACCTCAAACCCTGGAATTAAAATTGCAGGAAACCAGCCAAAAATCTTCAGCAAAAGTACAAGCCCGAAAATCTTCTCCACTGCCTACCAAAGAGCCGGGGCGTGCCCTGGACTAATGGGGCAATGATGAAATTAAATCAGAACTCCTCATACCCTTGGACGAAGAGGCCGTACCCTTGACTAATGGGACGATGATAAAGTTAATCAAAACTCCTCACACCTCGGACTAATGGGGCGTACCCTGAGGACGTCGGCCACCAGTCTTGCTGGGCTTTCCAGCGTTTCCACTGGAACTCTTTCACGCGCTGCTCAATCGTCTTTTGGCGCTGAGATTGCGCCCCATGGCGCAGAAACAGCCTTCCTCAGTTTTGTTATGCTTGCAGAGGCATGACAGCAGCAGAAGCAAGAGTGGCATGTAAACAAGTCGTACAAGAGGAGGCTAACTGCAGAGGATAGCGAAACACGCAGCCCTGACCTGAACAGTGTTGGGTCCACGTAGTTCACCCCTCACCCCCCACTAATAGCCTTACAGATGTCTGTCTATGCACGCAGGAGCATGGCAGCGGCAGGAGCAAACACAGAGGCAAGAAACACGTGAAAGGTGGGTCCAGGAAGTATGCTGTTGTACCGGGAAAATACCCCCACCCCACCCTACCCCACCCCACCCCCAGCTGATCATCCAAAAAGTTGGTCCAGGGCCATACTACTACTGCTACTACTATTACTGCTGCTGCTACTACTAGTACTACAACCTACTCTACTAGGTAACGGTCGGGTTTGCGATGGCGTGATTTTCCCCACTTCACACCACTGAAATTCAGGTTTCGCGCGAATAAAGTCCACCAGTCGTTTGTCTGCTTGCTCCACATGCTTAATTAGTGTTTTGGTTTGAATTGTTTGTGCATTTTCCAATGCGTTCGGGCTTATTTTGGACCTATTTACAGAAAATGCGTGTTTTGAAGTAGGCTTCCCGGAGGGTTTTTGTCATAATTCATCGCCTCATTTGTCCAAGCGTTGCCCCATTTGTCCAGGGTACGCCCCATTAGTCCAAAGGAGCGAGGAGTTCGGATTCAGCTTTATCATCGCCCCATTAGTCCAGAATGCGTCCCCTTAGTCCATAGGTGTGAGGAGTTCTGATTTAACTTTATCATTGCTCCATTAGTCTGAAGTGAGAAAAAGCCCGTCGCGGTAGACCGCAAAACTCCAGTTTGAACCCCTGAAACATCATTTCGGTGCCCAGACTTGAGCACCGAACCCGTTGCGTGTGACTCCGGCGCGTTCCTGCCGTGACAACAAATTCCCCACCCCTGCCAGGACTTTCACCACTTGCGCATTTTCAAGCGACGCTACGCATGAATTTCGGGTGGGTCCCGTGAGGGGCACCCGCCTAGTAGTAGTAGGTTCCTTGAACAGGGGGCCGTGCCGACGGAGCTCAGATGCCATGACTTTATGGAAGTCACAGATTGATGCGCAGTGTGTTTGCAAACGAAGGCGGCACATGATGAGCCGCCCCGGTCCCAAGTCCGGGACGAGGATGTAGTCAGCGTAGCAAACATTTCGATCAGAACAATGCTTGCTCCTCGTGGTGTGAGGGCGGTGGGCCTATCCGCAGGGTCCACGCGAAGCGGCTTACAAGATATGCCGTGAACATTACAAGGGCTGAAGTTTTGCGGAGAGACAGCTACAAAGGTGCGCAGTCCCCATCCACAACTCATTTGGACAGTACACCCTGTGCGCGCCACATGGGCCACACGTTTTCTTGTGCGTCGCACTTCGGCCACATTACCTTGCCTTTTGTAAATAGCCATTGCAAACTGGTTTTCCAACTGGTGTTGCCGAGTGTTCGGCCACCATGTTTCTGACTGACTGGGATTGCTCTGGATGATTGCCAATG